GGGGTAGGGGGCGGGGGGGAGGGGCTCTCACCTGTTCCCAGCTCTCTCCAGCCCCGTGGAGCATGCAGCCCCGGCCACGCCTCTCCTGCTGCGGCTGGTGTCTTCACAGTGGCTGTTCCAGACAGGCCATCGCTGCCATCATTGTGGTAATTTCCAGGACAGGACTGATGGTAAAAGAAAAGGCTAAAACATATGAATAAAATGTAGAAGTACCCAGATGCTAGGTTTGTTCTGAAATAGAGTTTAATTTTTATTGTATTCGCTTATAGCTGTTTTTTTTTTTTTTTAATGTTACCATTACTCCTACAGGAATAAATAACTTTGCTATCGTGCATCTCAAATTATCTGGCCCTTTTTTCCCCTCTTTGGAACAGTGGCTTTTAAACTGGATTTTTCAATGATTCAAGGTTTCTTTGCAATGCAGCCATTACACTAGAGCAGAGCAGACTATGAATGCAATAGCTGTAGCTGTATCTCAGAAACACAGATGCTTATAGAGAGGATGGGTATCCTTAGACTGGCTGCAATAGAAGGGGAAAAGGCATGTTCATGGAATAAAAAGTAACAAATTTCTTAAATACATAAGCTCCTGTTTCCATGTGTACTTGAAAGGTAATGCCCAAGTAACCCAGAAGTTACATCTCTTTGATGGGATGCATGTTGTGATTCATATATGCACATTGCCACCTCCACGTGGCTGAGGTTAGCATTGGGCTCGGTTTGCATTTTAAGCATAGGCTACTAGTCAACATTTAGGAGCAAGCTAGACGTGTGCAGGCTCTCAGTTACTGAGATGAAATCACACATGGAAACAGCAGAGTCAGCTGGTAGGGTTGTGAACTTATTTATGAATAAACATTAAGGCAGGCTTGAGGTTACCCTACCAACTGGTTAGTTCATTCCTTTGTTACTCAAAGGATCTTATCCTTCATGCCCGAGTTAAAATATTCCCTTCCTTTGAGAAGACTTCTGAGGGTCTCCCAGGACACAGAATTGTTCCTCCTCTGGTCCCTTCATTGTGCTCACATACCTGCCATAGCGGTTATTATATTATCATCATGTGTTGTCATGTTGTTTCCTGAGGGGAGAGAAAGGAGGCATCATTTCTTTTCATCTTTATGTGCCCAGGCCTAATACCTCTTTGGCCCCACACAATTCTTTGCTGAATGAATGCACCAAAAGTTATTTAAAAACTAGTTATCAAAAGCTTCTTGAAATATATCATGAGATGGTCACACAGCTGTTTTAAGTTCCATGAATATTGATGAATACATGGCAGGATTACAGATTTGGTTAGGGAGGAAAATAGCAAGATGTATTTCAGGGCACTTAGGCCTTATAGAACCATTGGTAGAGCTCTTTCCAAATTTTCAGTTAAAAACGCCTTCATCTTTTAAGACTTTGTAAGCTGGATCAGTGCCAAGAGTGTCTTTTATGACTGAGCTGTAAACCAGTGGAAAATGGGATTTATGAATTCTGAGTTTGCTGGTGCTACTTATATTGCTCCTGTCAAGGATTACAGTTTTTAAAATGTTTGTAAGTAGTTTGCGTTAAATTCCTGCTTTCTTCTGCACAAAGAAATGACTGTACCTTGGGACAATATGCTTTTTTTTTTTTTTTTTTTTTACTTTTGAGACAGGGTCTTGTTCTGTTGCCCAGGCTAGTATACAGTGGCATAGTCATAGCTCACTGTAACCTCAAATTTCTGGCCTTAAGTGATTTTCCAACCTTGGCCCCCCGAAGTACGGGGGTTATAGGCATGAACTACATGCCTGGCCGGGACAATATGCTTCATGATGAGGAAAGACATAGGATTAAAAGGAGTGTGATCACAATCGGGCTGAGGAATGAGCTGCTGGTGTGCCGTGCGTTCTCAGTTCACGGGGAAAGGACACCTTTTTAGTCTATGCCTAACCCCTTTAGGAAATAATTATTTCAATTGTGGGTTATTTTTAATTTGTGTCTTCTTTTATAATCCTTTTACCACCTAATCTCTTACCAGGTTAAAAGTGGCCTAATTACATGCGAAATACTTAGGACTTTTGGAAAATGTGCTTCCTTTAGTGGGCTCCTATTTGCACAGTTGTAAAATAACTCACTTGAGTCCTGAATTCCATCTTATTGAGTTACTCTGTTTACCAGGATTTCCCTTCTGAGGGATTAACCTTTCATCTTACTGTGCTGTGAACATCGAACAGGTAGAAAGGAAGCCTTCCTTGCTAAAGATAACTTTGCTATTTCTTGATAGCTGGTAGGGCACATTTACAGCTAATCAATAGCATAGCATGGAGTAGAAGGTTTTAGGAAACAATGTGAGTTGTGTTTCTACAACTTAAAATTAGTCATACTTTTCTTTAGAAATTTCTTTTTCCCCTCTGAAATCAACCCTCAAGTTCTTCAGGGCAGGAGGGGATGCAGAAGAAATCTAAACTCAAGTGATACATTTAAATAGCCTCAAATCTGTGGAAACCCCATTCCAATAAATACTGTCAGCCCTTGCATTGTGATCTTTCTTCAGCTGAAGTTGGTCCAGGTGTAACTTAACATAGCCTAAAGGAGGAATGCGCTTTACTCTTTGTATCTAATCTGCACTGGCCTGGCAGCAAAATTTGGCAGATGTAGGGATGTTGATGGACACTGACACCAGATGAAGCCCTTCAGGTGCTCCTACTTCTAAGTAGCGTCTTTGTAAATCAGCTCAGAGCCCAGATAGCCCAGCTCTTGAATCATTTGTGCACTACCTTTGAACCTTTTCTGTGTTCTCTGGAGTGCATGGTGAATCTCTGTGTATTGATCATGCATATCCCCTCTTTGTTACAGGTGGACTGTGCCCGGGGTCCAACGATCCTTGTATGGAGAAGCCATGTCCAGGGGACATGCAATGTGTCGGTTATGAAGCCAGCAGGAGACCGTTCCTTTGCCAGTGTCCACCAGGGAAGCTCGGAGAGTGCTCAGGTGCAGAGTGGAGTGGAATGATGAGAGTCCAATTTCATATTCCTGAAACACTTGCTCTTGAGTAAATTACACCATCGAAGTCCTCCCAGAAAATGTTTTATGCATGCAACATTTTCCTTTAGAATATACCCCAACTAACATTCACACTCACATTTACTTAGGGTTTATCACAGCTGTGGCTTGTGCTAAGGGAACACATAAAGACTGTGAGCTTCTTACATAATGGAGAGACTACAACATGTGTTTTTTTATCACATCTCATGACTGTTAAGGGTATGAAATAAGGGAAAATAAAAGGTTGGGCAGAGGCATTGGATTATCTGTGGCATGGCCTTTGATGCTCAGGGTGCTGCACAAATCCAGTCGCACAACCAAGATCCACAGAAGGCAGTGCTGACCCAATCCTGTTGACCTTCCTTAGAGTCTGCCCCATCTGGTGAACCAAGTAAGCGGACTCCCTACTGGAAATGTGTAACTAACTTCATGTTTCAGAAGGAGAGGTGCTCACCTCTGCATCTTAAAGAAAAAAAGTCAGTATTTGTGTTATTTTGATCCAAATGGTCCCGTTTCTGATCTTTACTCAATGTCTATACTTCATTTGATTCATATATTCTCTGCCAATTGTTTCCTCACAGAAGACTATTCTTCATTTTGGGTACCAATAGAATCCTCTTCAGGCCTCTTTAAAATATAGGCACCTTAATAACAACTTTGGAATCTAATAAATAGTTGGAATAAAAAAATAACTATGCCTAGTATGTACAAGGCACTGAGTTCTAGAAATTCAGCCTTTGCAAAGAGAAGCTCTGTTCTTAAAAGTGGAAGCCAAAGCTCCTTCATAGCTGATTTCAAGAATGCAGCTGCAATTAAGTAAAGTGACCACCTGGATGCTTCCCTAAGTCATCTAAGGCTTAGAATTATAAGAAAAATACGCTGCCTCTGTTTCAACATATGCACTGTGTACACAGCAGGTGGATGTGTTGGGAGATCATAAAGCCAAATTTTCTAACTTCTGGAGTCACTTCCTGCTGACTTTTCTCCTTTCTATCTAGAAAACTTCTGATTGTCTATAATTATTGTTCATTTGGTAGATTTCCGCACATTCCACCTTTCACCCCAACAAGGCAGCCTCTTCAGCCATTACTTTGCCTGTTAAAACAAAGTCGTAGGCAATTTGAAAGGAGTGATCTTAGAATTGAGCAATTGATTTGGACTACATTCAAAAGGAGCCTCAAAATTAGTAGTCAAAAAGTGAAATTGTAACTCCACGGATTTCCTTTGTATCAGTTACCTTTTTGCAACATTAGTGCAAATGACATAAATTAGTCATTAGGCATTAGGACACTTGGGGAACATGGGTATCTCTTGAAAATGGTTTTGTTTCATGGAGCTGAAAGTTCTTTAATGTCTGAATGATTGGGGGTTGGGGAAGGCATGAAGGGATGTCTTTTAATAATGCTCATTTTAGAAAGTGGGAGTAGGAAATTTAGTAACATTAAAAGAAATCCAAGTTGTGAAATTTATGAAGTGGCCCTTGGCATGAGACAAGTAAGGTGATTTTGGTGGTTGACTGGTTAATAGTTATTTCTCTTTGAAATTAGAGTTTGATGTGAAATGGAGAACCAGTTTTTAATCAAAAATGATTTTTTCTCACTGCCTTCACTAACTTCTCATGCATGGTCTTTAATCATCTTGCTTGGTGGTTGTTGGGTGATTTCATGTATATGCTCCTTTCTGGATGTTAAAAATGTGTATGTCTTCTCATAATGGTCTTTTCAGGGCACACTTCTCTCAGCTTTGCTGGAAACAGTTACATCAAATATCGGCTTTCTGAAAATAGCAAAGACGAAGATTTTAAACTAGCTCTGCGTCTTCGAACCCTGCAAAGCAATGGGATTATAATGTACACCAGAGCAAATCCCTGCATAATTCTGAAGGTAATTAAAATGCGTTATCTTTTCCTGCAGTCAGTTCTCATGTTAGTGTTTTGGCTCTTGGATTGGGGAACGGCTGAAATCATTTTGTCTTTTAAGTTCAGAAGACCAGAAGCAGACTTCTGGGCAAAGGGGAGCAGCGGCAGAACTGGGAAAGAAGCCAGCATCCCATTTCCTTTTGAACATTCAGCTTCAAAATTGGCTCTTGGTACATGGGGCATCTCTCTTGAGAGAGGGTTCAAGGGCTGGCTTCCTTTGAGCTGTAATCACTCAACAGTTCATTAGGATGTGTCTCCTAATCAATTCCACAACAGGGGTGGTCCTTTAAGAGGATTGGCCATATCCTTTTCTACCACATGGGTCTATCCCCACTGACTTTTGAAGGCAACTTCTGTTCTTGCTCAGGGAGGAAATTGGAAGCATGGGGTATAGAAGATTTCATATGTCCTATCATGACCTAAGTAGCCTAATTTTTCAATCATTTCCTAGCCTCAGAAACCCTCCTAAAACAGCCAGATTACTTCTAGAGCAAGTCTGACATTTATATTCAGCTCAAGGATTCTGGTGCCTTTATGAAAACAATAATGGTAATGGACCAGGCACGGTGGCTCACACCTGTAATGTCAACACTTTGGGAAGCTGAGGCAGGTGAATCACATGAAGTCAGGAGTTTGAGACCAGCCTGGCCAACATGGCGAAATGCTGTCTCTACTAAAAATACAAAAATGAGCCAGGTGTGGTGGTGGGCACTTACAATCCTAGCTACTTGAGAGGCTGAGGCATGAGAATCACTTGAACTTGGAAGGTTAAGGTTGCAGTGAGCTGAGATCATACCACTGCACAGTAATCTGGGTGACAGAGTAAGACTCCATCTCCAAAGTAAAACAAAACAAAGAAACAGAATAATAACAGATTTTTGAGCATCATTTATTTTTGTTATACAGCTAATGTGAAAAGTTTGTTGTATGTTATCCCCATTTGATCGGGAAGAGGACAGTGGTTCAGAGAGGTTAAGTTACTTATCCAAAGCTGCACATCTAATATGTGGTGAGGCCTGAATCCCACAGTCTAGTCTCTCTCACTCCATGCTGTTAATGTCCATACTATCCCTCACTCTCCCTCTTGGTCCTATAACTCATTTTATTAAAAATCACATTCTGGGCATCTGTAGCCCAGATTCAGCCTTCTAGTATGGAGGAAAGAAAGCAGGAGAAGGAAGGTGACGTGTTTCATCTCATGCTATTCTCACCAGGCTGCTATGTCAGCCCATCATAAATGCTCTTCAGAAACATTTGGAGTTCATCCCGTGAAAAATGCCTTTTTCACATGGAAATGGCTAGAAATCGTTTTCTTCCCAAGGTTCGGGTTTGAAGGGTACATGGTAGACCTTTCCAGCTTTTGGCCTTTCATTGTTTGATATGCCAGCTCCAGGTTGATTAGGTGGCCCAGGCTTTAATCCTAAAGGCAGATGAGGAAGGAGAGAAAGAATATTAAATGCCAGTGGGCTTCTCTTAGTGCTCACATAGGCTTTTATTTACCCACATCTGGTATTGCCAGATATTACTTGGTGGCCATAGTTGAGTGAGCACGAAGTCAAAGTTTAAAAGTTGGTTGCTTTTGTAAGCAGTCTCACACTATCCTTATTCATTCAACACAGCATAATTTCAGATCTGGAAAGGAAAGCAATGTGTTTAAAAGAAAATAAGGAAAGTACTTCGGATGCACAGTTTTAGAGAATGATGCATTCAAATCAGAGATTCAAGGTGAAAGAAGAAAAACTCGAAAACCTAAGTCCTGCCTTTATTTCTCCTGGCCCCGGAAGCAAGCTGCTTTGGGTCAGTAGATCATTTTCTAAATGGCGTTGAGAGTTGGGGTTTTGTATAATTGCTGGGAAAGCGCTCTGAGCATCCAGAGCTACCAGCTCTTAGGGCTCTGCTTGGGCCTTACTGACCTTTCTCTCTCCTCCTCCATGCTCTAACAGGGCTGGTGATTGAAAATAGTTTCTATTAGTAAATCTCTTATAGAGCATTAAATTTTAGATAGAACCAAAATATTGACCCTGAATGGTTTGATCCTACAATGGAGCTTGTAATGTGACACTTCACTGGCAGAAGTCTAGGATGTGCAGATCCCTCAGGATAGGAAAGAAGAATAATTGAGCCTTTTAGACAGCTCCAGCTCCTAAGGTATATTGCATTTCATGAAACAAGCATGTTTCCGAAAGTTGTGTAAATTGAATCTCTGTAAATGGAATTCTAATAAAGTAGAGATGGATGCTATTTGAAGGAACCCTCCATTAATCCCTTTGTGACGTGAATAATCACTCCCAATCTGTCTGTTCTGTAAGTTTGCTTTTCATATGTTGGGTTTGCCCAAAGCAGGACACAGCTGTACTAAACTATTGCAGTTGTTCTCCGACAGTCACCAGGAATATCCACTAAGGGGATTTGAATCTGTTTGCTTAACATTTTCAGCCTCATGCAAGATTTAATTTCCTTGGCTTTAGGTACAGTATGTGCGCCTTGCACTTTGGTTCAACCACTAAGCTGAAATGTTTTGTTTAAATTGCACCTCTTGGTTATTTCTATTTTTCTGGTCAGCACGCATTCTTTAAGAAGTACTTAAGATACTCAGTGGGGTGAATGGCGCCCCTTACAGGCAATAAAGAATTATGGAGAGACTTCAAGAAGTAAAAATGCTCACAAAGAATATCACTGTCTCTCGGCAACAATAAAAGGCATTCATTCTTCTGTTGACCATTGATATCATATCTTCTTCCAAAAGAAATTCAATGCTTACCATAAGCATCCAAATGCAATAAAATTACCATTAAGGTAAAAATACAAGGTTAAGAGCCAACCAATGAAGTTCAGTAGAGTAGAATATCATTATTGGAAAATCTAGACCAAGGGGAACTACTTCAGCAGAGCCCAAACCATAACTGAGTTTCCTGGCAGCCAAAGCAACAATGAAAATGGTCAGATAGGCTGTATGACTCTCCTCACACCTAGAAAAGAAACATGGCATTCTTCCTCAAAGGGAGATCTAGAAAAGATTTTTTAGAAAGAGGAAAGAACATGCCAAATCACCAGAAGAGATGTAAGGAGAAATCACTAGGAGAATACTTTATCTCTGTGTCAGTCTTTCAGCTACAGTATTATGGCAAACGCACAGGAGAATATGATTGTTAATATAGATGCATCTCATGTTTCATTTTGAGGGGAAGTTATAAAAGATTCATTGCTACATCCTGATGATTCTCAGACATGGCTAGCTTCAGACCCCTAAACTGAAAGGAAGATGGGGAAAGTTCATTTGGTTTGTCAAATAGCTCACTTGGCATGGCCAGATCTTTTCAATACAGATCAAGAGTAACAAGGAAGCTTCCCTACAAGATTTGAGAGTTTCAATGATCTGTTTAATATCAATGATCTGTCACCAAAAAGTAAGTTAACCTTAATAATTACATTTTCTAGTAATAATAAAATACCTAGGAGTTTACAAAGTACTTTAACATACATATAATTTCGACTCTCATTCCCCTTTCATGTATGTATGACTGTCTTTTTTTTGCCTGTGAGGAAAGTGAGGCTCAGAGAAAATTCCGTGACTTGCTCAAAGTGACAGCCCGTCAATATGATTTTGGGTCTGGGCCTGTGACAGAAGCAAGGAGGTTGGTAGTTAGTTATCTTTTGATAAACTAAAGGAGTTTATCGAAAGAAGAAATTCAGAGGGCTGGGATGATTATGCACTCATTTACTCATTTAAAACACTTAGTGTATGAACCAAATAGCTATTGATGGAAGCCTTAAAATAGATTTTGTATTTGTTTCTGTGTGGATTTTTTTGTTTTTTGAGATGAGAGCTCACCATCTTACCAGGTTGGTCTCAAAATGATCACTTAATCCTCCTGCCTCAGCCTCCCAAGTAGCTAGGACTACAGGCACATGCTAGACAGGGGAAGAAAAAAAAGTTCTTAAAACATCCCGTTTTCGAAGAATACTAAATAATCCTCTGACAAGGTACATGATTATGATGCATTTGCTATAGCCACACACCAAGGATCTGAAGCAGTAAGACTTCATGCCAAAATTTAGTTTTTACTCAAAATCTTACTTTCCTGTAAAATTAGGACTTTTATTTTGAAAGAAAATTTTTACTTATTTATTTTACTTTAGGTGCATACTATATCTGGCATTTCTCCCCATGTTATCACTCCCCCCCCGCTGTCTCTCCCCTACCCCACCCAACAGCCCCCAGGATGTGGTGCTCCCCTCCCTGAGTCCACGTGTTCTCGTTGTTCAACACCCACATATGAGTGAGCACACACGGTGTTTGTCTTTGTTCTCGCGTCACTTTGCTGAGAATGATGTTTTCCAGATTCACCCAAGTCCCTGCAAAGGACACGAACTCATCATTTTTTTATGGCTGCATAGTATTCCATGGTGTATATGTGCCACATTTTCTTTGTCCAGTCTATCAATGGTCGTTTGGGTTGGTTCCAGGTCTTTGCTATTGTATACAGGGCTGCAGTGAACATATGCGTGCATGTGTCTTTATAGTAGAATGATTTCTAATCCTTTCGATATATATCCAGTAATGGGATTGCTGGGTCAAATGGAATTTTTTTTATGGATCCTTGAGAAATCGCCACACTGTCTTCCACAATGGTTGAACTAATTTACACTCCCACCAACACTGTAAAAGTGTTCCTATTTCTCCACATCCTCTCCAGCATCTGTTGACTCCAGATTTTTCAATGATGGCCATTCTAACTGACGTGAGATGATATCTCAGTGTGGTTTTGATTTGCATTTCTCTAATGACCAGTGACGATGAGCATTTTTTCATATGTTCATATGTGTTTTTTGAAAAGTGTCTGCTCATATCCTTTGCCCACTTTTGAAATGGATTTGTTTGTTTTCCTGTATATCTGTTTTAGTTCTTTGTAGATTTTGGGTATCAGCCCTTTGTCAGATGGGTAAACTGCAAAAATTTTTGCC